GTGTAGAACCTGATGATAGGCAGACTACTTAAATAGGTGCTCAAAAGGCGCAGGTATGGCTAGTTGTACCCAACAAATATGTACAGCTGTCAGGATATATCTGATGGTTAAAAATACTACTAATATTCGAATAAAGAGCAGCATGGCAAAGAGGTCACCTTAAAATCAAAAAAAAAAAAAAAAAAAAAAAGTAACTAGAATAAAAGAATCTAACTATAAAAATTAGAGACAGGCTATAGCTCTTCTGAACTATCTGAATTAGAAGTTTGAATAGCTGAAAATATAGTTTATAGTTTATAAAATATATATCAGGATTTAAATAAACTTTATAAGAGAAGAAATAAGTAATAGTAGCAGAGATAAAAGGCTGCAAGTATTTGTTCTTAGACTTAATATAAATTATTAAAGTTTAGATTAGCCAAATTATAAATATAAAAAGCTTTAACAAACAATACTTTGATAATAAATCGATTAACTATACTAATAGTTCTAAAAGAATAAATCTGTATTTAAAATTTCTTAACTAACTAATATATTAAAAATATATTAGTAAGTCAAGCAGAGTTGCATTACAAAAGATTTAAATAGGTAATACCTATAGTTAGATTATAGATATAACATCTAGTATAAAATATATAATGTAAATTATAGACAGATTACTTAAAATAAATACCAAAAGTGTATATATAACTAGTATATATTTTTTAATATAAAAAGTTTCTTTGAGGCAATAGCTATAAGTCTTTACTTAATAATATTTGAATAAAAACCTTAAGCCTAAAAGGCTAATTAAAAAAAATTATAAGTAAAATAATCTTATATATTTTTTTAAATATTCTTAAAAATAACATTATATAAAAATAAGTAATAAAGCCAAACTTAGTAGAACTATTTTAACTTCAACACTTTTTCATCTTTAACTTTATAATATTTATAATATTTGAGATATTTAGTTACAACACTATACAAATTTTTAAATCAAAACTCTTTCTAATGATCCTCTAGTTAACAACTTTAAAAATCTGAACTATAAAAAAACATTATAGAAAACATTAAAAAGTGATAATATATTTAGTCCTATACAAGTAGGTGTATTATTAACAAAGTACTAAAAGTGTAAAATCGAGGAGCAAACTATCTTGAACAGTTTTTGTAAAGGTCAAGCCTCTTGCTTATGGACTCTTCTATTATATTCATTATTTAAACCAAAAGAATATTTTGAGAATACAAAATAACTAGGTCGATACTAGGCATATTAAAAAAACTGAAAATAGTTCCTATACAACCATAAAACTTACAAGAAAAAATCCACAAAGTTTCATTAAACCATCACTTTTTTCGAGGAAATTTATCAAAAGTAAATATCCTAGCTTACCTTCTCCAAAAGATTAATATATAATTTTTCAAAACAGTTGGTATTGTTTATTTTCCAAATCAGGTTAATTATTTTTCAAAACAAGATGTTTACTTTTAATAAATACAAAATTGATAAATATTCAAATTAAGCAACTGAGTATGTCTAAAAGACAACACAGTTAGGCAATGTGCCTCAACTAAAAAAAACTGTTTAAACAATACTTTGAGACTAATGATGCTTTTTAATTACTCTGTCTAGTTTGGTCTAATTTAATTAAATCTACTATTTTTGTTTTTTTTATGTGAATTAGATATATTATTAGGATAGAGTTAAATACAGAGCTTCTTTATCTTATAATATGTAATTTTTGTTAACCCAATACAAGCTTATAATTATGACTATCAGATTTTTTTACTTTCATTTTTTCTCTTTTTCTCTTTTTTAGTATTAGTATTAGTGTTAGTATTTTTTTTCTTTTTTTCACTTCTCTACAAAAAAATGTCATCAGATTGGTGATATTCTATTGTAAGGCAGTGGTATGATATGGCTTTTTAGGATAGATGGTTTTTAGATTTTCCATTGATTTACTATAATATATCTCTTGTAAATTTATTTGTCTAGAACGACAAGTAACTTGTAAATGCTTTTAAAAGTAACTGCAAAATGTCAGGCCTAAATATTAAGCTTAAAGTATTTTGTACAGCCTGCGATAAAACAATTTAAATAAAGGATCATTAGTATATACTTTTAAATAAATTTAATTTAAATAATTTTTTATATAAATTTATATATACAATAAAATTGGAAGTGTTAATTTATTTGATTTATAAATAATTACATTCTGTTAAATATGTTTTTGACTAAAAATAATGTTTTTAAATAACAAACTATTTGATAAAAATATTTGCAATACTGTAGATAAATTGAAGTTATAATAAAAATTATTAATACAGTACTAATAATATAAAAATAACTTTTCTAACTTTTACAAACATGGCCTCACCTTTGAAGATTAAAAAAAAAAAAAAAATTTCTACAAATATAAATAAAAATATAATCAAAAAAATCTGTTTATTTTAAATAAATGGCATACCAGCTTTCTAACAAAATTTTTGCATCAAAACAACCATATATAAAATATAAAAACTAACTTTACTTAACATTACAACAAATATCAATCAAAATATGTTTACAAAAGGACAAGCATATGTAGAACAACCTTATAAAAAATTTTTCATATTCTAAGCTTTGATGAAAATTAAGCAAAATGTTCCAGATCCTTTGAATAAATATAAAAGGCTACAAATAATACACAACAATGGTTTACAAAACTTTCGATATTTTTTATTCTACTATAACCTTCTGCAATTTTATGTTTGTAACTAAAAACCTAAAATTTTTTTATACATCTAGATAAGATATACGATTAGACATGAAATATATCAAACAACCGCATATATTAACTTGTGAACTCTCAAACTATACTCAATTAAATTATCTATACATTAGTATAACTTATACGCCCACTATTCAATCAAGCTAACGATAAATCTGCTGTATTATTATAATTTCCAATGACTATATATGACTCGCTATACTTATATGTATATGTTGTACCTAGGGTTGAAAATTACATTTTACAATCTTACATTTTCATGTAATTTTGTGTATTTTGCGAGTTTCAAACCTTTTTATTAATCACATGGAAACCGTTTTACCAAAACCCACATAAAATTACGCAAAATTACGTAATTTAACAACCCTAGTTGTACCCCGAATTGGTGATTCAGGACAGTTCTGGATGAGAATTTTGTAATTTTGGTCCGAATTATACTAGCCAAAATTAAAAATTATTTATTATAAACCCCAATTCTAACCCTAACACTAACCTTAAAGTCTTAATTCTGTCATAACAATTCGCTAGATTCCTATCCGGGGTAGTCCGATTCTGGATCGGGACAATTCCAATCTGGGGTACGGCATATACATGTATATAACATTATAGTTACGCTTTATTTATCTACACACATGCACGTACTATATTTCAACGCTTCCCGTGGTTGATCATACGAATTCTAGTATAATGATTTAAATTTTTTCTATTAAAAAAAATAACCTTTTGATATATTTTAATATACCAATTTAAGAATAACTTGTATTTAATCTTTAAAATTTAATCGAAATTATGAAAAACACATGAGTTCTGACTTTTGGTAGGGTGCTGTACAATGACGTCTTTTTTTCTTTATTTAATATTATATAAAAAAAAATAAAATAAACATAAAATACGACCGTGGCCCAACGAGAGTTTCCGGATTATAGTTTATTATTGGCAGATTTAAATTTTTTTTTAAGATAATAACTGACTAAGCAGGCTTAGCCATATCAAATTTATTGACTAGGCTAAGCTTATAAGTTTTAATCGGCTACAATCACTAATGACCACGCTCACTGGAGGACCTTTCAGAACTGCGACTAATTGTAAAAAATAAATCAGAAAAATAAGATATATATAAACAATATAAATATTAAAAATCCACTATTTTTAATAATTATATAAAATTTTGCTTACGAAAGTCTTCGATCTTCACCACTGTGTCGTCTTTCACGACTTCGACTTCTTTCGTCGTCAGAATATCTTCTATAATATCGATCATCACGATCTCGACTGTCACGATCTCGATCCCTTCTCGGTGTTAACGATCTTCTTGGCGAACGAGAGCGAGACCTATTACATACAAAGCGTTCCTGAAGTTAACCGATTTTCTATCCACAAAAAGTAACAACTATTGCTATTTGGTTTCGAACAATAACTTAAGCTTGTTGAAAACTTCGATGAGGAGGTGAAATAATACATATAAGAATATTAAATATGGAAATAGAACGGCGGAATAGAAAGGTGACGGTGAATCTTTGATACGGTTATCATCACGTTCGACATTGAATGTTCGCGGGTTTCAGAAACGGAAAACGGTTATAACGGTTCCCATATCAATTTTAATGGTTTGCTTTGGTCGGATGAGTACAATATCGTTGCTATGGATTGGAGGTCTTTGAATAGACATATTTGTTCCTCCTTGATTACTCAATTCCGACGTAAATAGGGTAGGTTCTTCAAAGCCAAGTAATTCTTGTAGATTATAATACGGACACACGGCTTTGCGGATATTTTAGTAAATTTAAGGTTTCGATTAAAGAGACAAAAAACCGCATTTGACGTACAGTCATCCTTCTCCATAATCACATTTTATATTACTCAAAAAAAAAAAAAAGTGATTATAGTAATGTGATTATATAAAGGTTTTTTAATATGTATATTGTTAATTACTTTCCAAAAAAAAAGGGTGTGATTATATAGATGATTATATAGAAGGTGACTATATAGAGGGATGACTGTAACCAAATGAAGTAATGGCCTCCGGATTTTGCCAACGGTTTTGCTAACATAACAAATTAAAGGTCTCTCAAACCCAACAATCGACGTTCTTGGAAGTATTGAAACAAGAAAATTTTAATTATAAACAACTTTAACGAACACAAACCTTTTTCTTGGACTCCTGCTTCTACGCCTATCCCTTCGGGATGATGAACGACAGTCTTTTGCCCAATGGCCTAAATTTTGAATAATTTGCTCTAAGAATATGTTAAAAAAAAAAACTTTCTTCCAAAGATCTACTATTATTCTTGCCTTCTCTTCCGCATTTAAAACATTGGTTTTCAGCTGATTTCAAAATTGAGTTAAAAATCACTAGCATATAAATATCTTCAAATTGTTATTAAGGACAAGATTGAAAAATATGTATACCCGGCTTCTTTCCACCATTTTTTGCCCATTCTACAACAATTCTATTCCCGCGTACTCGCTAGATAATCATCCGGAATAAATGTGAATGAACACGAAACAAGTGAAAGACTCTATCTTCCTTTTTAACAGTTTGCTGACGGATCTTTCTTTCACGTCGCAATACACACCAGGCCGTCTGTCTCCTTCATAGCATCAGAGGCATCCCTTTCATCCTGATATTCGACAAAGGCGTAACCTCTCTTAACTTCCAATCGATTTAGCCGCCCATATTTATCAAAGATGTGTTCAAGATCTCGCGGGTGGGTATCTAAGGATAACCTAAGGTACAAAATAGCAATTAATACAAGTTAGCGAGCTACTAAGATAAAGATCCATACCTTCCAATAAAGAGTGCCATTTTTTTTTTTGAGTACTGATTAATCTAAAATAGAGAAAAGCGGGATGAAAGTTATTGCTGTCGATATGTTTTTAACCTTGAATAATATTGGTACCTTAGGGTTCGTAATTTTGGGGTGTTACCCCAGTATCGCCACAAATTAGCTGCGTGCGTGCGTGCGTGCGTGCGTGTACGTACATAGATTAGCAGAGAAACAGATCGGCCCGAATTATGGGTCGGCGTTAGGCCGGCATTAAGAAATAACAACAACTAACTACGTCATTAGTAAAATTTTGAGTGATCTTGGGCAAAATTAATCAACGCCGGTGCAATCCGACCCATAATTCGGGACGATCTGCTGAATTTTTGTTTCTCCGCCTGATTCTGGCCGATCGTATTTCATTACTAAGCCGATAGGTTTATCGGCTTAGTCGATTGTAAGTTGCATCCGAAGTTATATGCCTCTTGGTGCCATAAAATTCAGCAGGGACAGTTAAATGATTGGCTATCCTGAGTCAACGATTTCCGTAAATAGCAATAAATGTAGATCAATTTTAGACTACAATTTATATTATAATTTATATACACGTGATATATTATACCGTTTTATTATATCGTACGTACGTACATATTACGTATTAAATTAAATTTTAAAATTGCGAAATTAAGATATTTAATAAGCAATATACTGTCAACTATCGATATAACGGAAATCCGGGCTGGCCAAAAAAATCCGTTATATAGCATGTTCGTTATACCT